AAAAGACATAAGACTTTCCAGAAATTATGGGTCATAATCACTGATCCTTCCCATGAATTAAGAGGCAAAAGAAAAATAAATGCAACATGAGGAATATAAGATACTTTGGGGTATTGCTTCACAAAAAAATAGAGTGAGTTCCCCCTGCCCCATCGCCAATAGAAATGGCAAAAACAGTGTTCTGCCACGTATTTTCCTCTAAGTGGCAGAAACTTATCAAGGACATTTAACTTTGAAAAATATAGACACAGAAAGACATAGATTGCATCCCAAAGAATGATTGTCTATAGGACTCGTTTCAGATATGTGTTTATTGGAAGAAAGAAACATGCAAAGGTTGTAGATGACATGCAAAGGTTTCAGAGAACATGCAAAAGCTGAAGGAAATTGACATTAGATTCCAACAATTTTCCAAGTAACAGTTGGTTGGAATCGCATTTCATTGCAACTTCCTTAACTTTCTTTATTAAGAGCAAAAGTTACTTGGAAGATGGCCGTCACTCGCATAGAGATATCCTGGCTTCAATATTAGGTATGGGTGTGCTAAACTTCCTACAAAACTTGACCTTTCTGTAATCTTAATTACAAAGATCAGTTAAATCATCTAACTCTAATCAAAGTTATATCATCTTTGCTCAATTGTGCAGCCACAAATAAAAATATAGATACTTTTCTCTTTAAGGAGTATTAATTGGTTGATATCCAAGAAGACAGTACACCATTTTGCACATTAGAAGAATCTCGGGGAGGAATGTATGTCACGCTGTCTGGAGCTTGCCTCCTACATCATAATAAACTACCTTACGAGGAGGAGCTGCATTATTACCACCAGGTGCTTGACATGCCTATAAGATAACAAATCCATAAACATCTTCTTTTATGGTGTTCACAGGGGAGAAGGCCTTGAGACTCGGGTTTAAATCTCATGGGTATCAAATAGGTTATGAGTAGGTATACAAAGGATTGCAGGTAGAAGTGTAAAAGAAGCTCATTATCATATCTAATTTTGTTAGTCTCAAAGATCAACAGTTCCAAATGATATGCACCTTTTTGACAGGTCATCCTCTCTTTGGGAAATTTCATAAAGTTGTCTTTTCTACATAAATGGCATCCCCTTGTTGCACTGTTAATACAAATTTTATCTCTCTCTCTCTCAAAAGAAAAAAAAAAGATCTGCTTAGCACAAACCATTTAAACAAAACAAAGAAACAAAATATAGTTACCTTCATTCCTAGGGCTTTTTAGCTAATCAATCAACATGCATATAA